TACTGGCCGTGTTTGAGAGCGGCAGTGTCTGCAGCGTGCCTTAGGGGTCCGCACACACACGCGCATACGGCTCTGTGCCCGCCTCTCTATCGATTGCTTTTGGCGACAGCCGTTGTGTAGTGCGGGAGGCCGCGGAGAGGCTGTCCCCTGGCATCAAGCTTCCGTGATGTGTTCTGTTTCTTATCTAATCTGGAACGGTAACCTAAAGTAAGTACGCACAGATAATTAGGAGGGTGCGTTTACTTGCTCAGCACTCAGTGTCCTCCAGGCCGGCGTGCAAAGTGTTTTTTTTTTTGGCGCAATATGTGTTCTAGAAACAAAGCATCAAGTAACACCAAACTAAAAAACAAAACAAATTTCTGGACGTTACGCAACTATTGCAAACAAGGCCCCTTGACGTTCTGTGTAGTTTAACCTATTCTTTCGTGTCTGTTGTATTCACTTTAGGTTTCCAAAGCTGGTGATTTATTTGCCGGGAAACAGCAAACTTGAAACTTTTTTTCTTGTAATTTTTCAGTTGTGAGTATTTTCACAAGAGTATTTACACGGATCTTAGGTTAATTTTTTTATAATTGGTCAAATAAGTTGCATTGTTGGGAAAATTTAATGTTAAAGCATTTCTTGTTCCATTTTCAGAGTAAACTTTAAAATATTTAGAAGACAAGAGTCTGTTTGCTGCTGAAGTAAAAAAGTACCCACAAACGTTTATAAGCAGATCTTGAAGTGCAGTGTAACATCACTGTAGTTTTGTTCTTAGAGCAAGCTGAAAGCTCCTCTCATTTTGGAAGAGTTAAAGTAGTTGTGGATTGATTTTTTTTTTTTTTAATTTAATGTGAAGTAAACTAAGTAAATCAATTTTGCAGGCTAAAGAATTACTCAGTATGTATATCTGCTGCTTTTAAGTTAATGGTGGTTTTCTATTTTAATAATAAGCTTGTATGAATTAAGGAAAAACAAGTGGTTGTAAAGATCAGAGCTTTAATTGATGTAAAAACGGGTCCCGATTTGACAATCAAAATATATTCAGATATCCCTGAAATAAAAGTTGGTTTCTAGTCTTCAAATAGCCAGTGTAACCCAGAATAACATTCAGTTTTTTGGTGTGATCTGACACTTCCTTTTTCCTGTGCAGACTTTTTTAATTAAAGTACTGACTATTCATTGAAAGTGACAAATAACCCCTGACTGGAATAATACACCAGATTTTTTTTTTTTTCCATGTATTTGGATCTTTTCTGCTTACAAGAAGTATTTTAATCATGAGCTGTGGAAAAGATTTTGTAGAAACTCTTAAGAAAATTGGATATCCAAAAGCTCATGAGCTTAATGAAGGAGATTTTGATTGGCTGTTTGACTCTTTGGAAGACAAATCATTCCTGGAGTGGTTTTGTGGAAATATAAATGAGCAGCATGTGCTATCTGAAAAAGAATTGCAAGAGTTTGATAACCTTCTTGAGTCTGGTAAGCCCATTTTGGAAGGAAATGCGCTGGATGAAGTCCTTAAAACCTTAAAGCCCATGGATTCAAAGAACGGTATCCAGAAGAACGGTATCCAAGAAGATGAGGAGGAACTGAAGAATTTAGAGGATGAGCTTCAAGCTCTTCAGAAGTTAAAAAAACTTCAAATTCATCGGCATAATAAGCTTCAAGTAATGCTTTCTGAAAACAGCCAGATGTTACAAAATTTAAAAAGCAAAGAGGAGGAAGCACAGAATTATTTGCAAGAAGGACTGAAGATGTTTAATGCAGCAAATGATGAACTTAATAAGGAATTGCTGTCTTTTACGGATGCAGCCAGCAAATTTACCTCTTTCTTCACTGCTTCAGATTCAGAACAAGGGTCAGATCTAAATCCAGTGTTTTTTTCCCAACTTTCTTTGGACAAGTATTTGTCTCAGGAAGAACAAAGCACTGCAGCACTTACCTCGTACGTAAAAACCCTTTGTTGTCCAGGTATGTCTGAATCGGTTGACAATTCAGAGGAAGGCAGCTTTCAGCTTGACGATATAGGTAAACAAGTCACTTGTGATGAGACTAATGAACTTTGTGAAGAGAGTCGAGAGATAGCAAGGCTTCAGACAGCTTATATTTGTGCTCAGCATCAGCTAATTCAGCAGCAAGCTAAAGAGGAGAGCATGAAGTCGACTATAAAATGTGCGGAGAGCATGCTGCAGTCCTTAAACAAGGTAAGCTGCAAAAGGTGACAGAAGGTGGTGGGCTGGCAGGCCCGTCTAGCTCCGTCTAGTGAGAGGAATTGCTGAGTTATTATTTCAATTCTTTTTATGTGGTGAAGTTGCACTTTTATGAAGTTTTAGTCTTCCTCACAGAACTGTGAAATAGCTCCAGTTTTTCTAGTCAGAAATTCTTCAGTGTAGCAGAGCACCTTTAGTTCTGCCTCCCTGAATTAATACTTTGAAAAACGTGGAACTTGGTGCCTTTCTACGTTTAGTTGAACTTTGAAATTTAAAATTATAACTGGCTCTCTCTTCTCTATACTACAAACAAAAGCTTGACTTTGGTCGGAATTTTGTGGTATTGAGGTGTTGATGTGATAAATGCATTCTTGTTTGTGTTCCATAGCAAACTTAAACAGTTTTAGTTCCCTGACTCTTTTGAAACTCAAGTATTTGTACAAATAAGTGTATCTAATAGTTGAAGCCCTAGGAGCCTCTTGGTGAGTGATGGAGAGTTGTGGCTACTGGAATTTAAGAATGTGAAGAAATTGTAACAGAAGGAAAAATATTAGCTTATGCCAGTCACAAACTAACTTTTATCATCATTCATTTGTGTATTTTTGTTTATGGGTGACTAGTGTATAGAACTTGAATGATTAGAGTTGTTTGGAATAAACTGATTCTGATAGTACTGTTGATAGACATCCGACTGAATATAAAAGTGCTTGCATGTGAGATTTGAGTTAGACATGCTTGAAATTTGGGTGATAAGTAAAATACCTGGTTTCCACAAAAGCTGTTTCCTGTCCCTGCAGTAGAATGAAATTACTATTTATTGAAATAGATTTATTTGATATTCACTTTGTAAATCTGTAGTTGCCTTACGTTGTTAAGGTCTATAAAACTACTTGGGGAATTTTAATTTTGTAACTGGAAAAGGTGCAGAAAAAAGGAACCGTGAAGGAATTGACAAATACTTTGTTTTATGCAGGATATTGGAAAACAAGAGAACCTCGATGACAAAATATCTAGTTTGAATGATGAAATTTCAGCGATCAGACAAGATATAGCTCGGATAAACAACGAAGAGCTGCTTCCCCTTCTAAAAGAGAAGGCCCGACTTCTGTGTGTGCCAGTGGTCAAGGGGTTGTTGGAACATCAGATTGCACAGAAATATTATGCTTCAATACAAGATAAAGTATGCAGGTATTTGATAAGACAGAAAGCATCGTTTGAACTTATTGAGCTAGCCTATGAAATGGAGTTGAAGAAGCATAAAGAGACCTCTTGTCAACTTGAGAATTTGGTAGAATCTCTGAAACAGAGCAGTAATGAGGTGGAACAGACACTACAGGTGATGACTGAGCAGAGTCAGTGTGCGAAGCCAAGAGGCACTATCAGTTCAAGCGACAGTTTCCCTTGCAGGTAAGTGTTACAGTCACCACTGAACTCTGGAATAACACTGGGGAGATAAAGGCTTAGGCACGCTAAGCCCTTTCCATTGCCAAGTTCTTAGTCACTTGCTATGGCTGCTAGTGTTTTGAGTTCTCCAGAACCAAAGCCTTAAGAGTTCTCTCTTGCTTAGCCTTTGAAGTTCTTTTCAGGTTTGCCTGAGGAGAAACTGTTTTCAGTCTTGTTAATATTGTTGAGGCATTCCCAAACAATATCCAGAGTATAATGAATGATTAAAACCAAACCTGTCTTATGGTGCCCTGATCTAGGGTCTGTTGGAAGTTAATCTGAAAGTACAGATGTTGAGAGCTGTTAGTAAGAGTGATTTCCCAGATGTGTGTGTGTGCATGGCCTCATCAGCTTAGCCTGCAAAGTCCCCCCTGTGGCAGAGAAGAGGAAAGACTCCTTCAGTGTATGATGTGTGTTCAGCTCGACGTTACTCCTTTGGTTTATGATCTGGCTTCAGTGTCCTGCCACCCATGGAGGAGTCTCTTTTTTCACCATCTAAGTAATTCAGTCTCCCTGTAGCTCAGGTGATACCACAGGAATGTGTGCTGTGTTGCCGTCACTTAGACTAAACCTTTTGATGAAGTGTACTGGATAGTTATAGGTGTGTTAATGTCAGACTTTTCCTCCTTTAAAATGGCCATTTAAGTGTTTTTAATAATTCAGGGATAGCTGAGTATGATCTTACACAGTGAATAACTACAGGAATTAGGCAGCATTAATTTTGCTCCCATTGTGTTCGCACTGGCAACTTGTAATGGTTTTGTTCAGCTTTATTATTAAGTCTCCAAATCACTGGATGTTGTCTGGCTCATTTTTCACTTTTTTAATTAAAAAAGGAAGAATAGTTAGTTATAAACCCTGAGGGGTTTGCAGTCTGAAGATACTTGAAAGGAACTCAGTTATTTATGAGATATAGCCCCTGCTCTTATTAAAGCCAATCTGATTCTGTGCTGGAGCTCAGCTCCTGAAGTTTTAAATACAGAGGTGGTAGTAGCAACTGAGCAAAGTTACCTGGAGTCGTGTTAGACTGTACGTACCCTTATGCTGCATCAGGAAGAGTTTGGTATACAGCAAGTATTGCTGTCTTTTGCATGACTTGTTAGTAAATTGGGAGTTTCTTAGCAGTCTCTTCATAGATAGGAAACAGGAAATACTCCAGGAAACTTGAAAATGTTATAAAGATTGCTCTTCTTTCTCATTGGCCATTGAAATCTGCTGTTTTTCAGCACTCAAATTGTTTCTTACTTTGCAGTCCTTGACGTGTTGGGAAATAGTTGGCAAAAACACACTGTCAACTTCTATTTGCATTCATTGTGTACTAACTATCTGAACTTCACTATTTCATTGCTGTTAATTTACTATAAAAATATTTTTGGAGTCCTACTAATTACATGCTAACTCTCTATAGATGGAATCATGAAGTTGGTGAGAGATGGAGTGCTGTAGTAAGAGTACTCTGAGCAGTACTGTCCTTTACTGGTGCTCTAACTTCTCAATGTGAACATCTTCTCTTGAATAATAGTGATAGGAGTGCTTAGGAATCTTAAAAATGCTTGTGTGTGTGTAACTTCATTGGTTACAGGCTATTTCAGATTCTGGAAGGAGACAATAAAAAGCAGCAATTGTTTAAAACATACAAAAACCTGGAGCAGATGGCTCAGAAGTTAAAGCAGGACTATGCTACAGCTCAAGATCAGCTAGCAGCATCTTCTCAGCAACAGTCTCTGCTTCTGTCCAAGCTAGAAAGTGATGTAGATGCTCTTCGAAATGCCCTGTATCGTGGAGGAAATCAGCTACAACTCACAAGTCAGGTAAGCACTTGCCTAGGTATTAAAATTAATACAGAGAAAGATGTATGAATGTTGTAGACACATAAAATGTCTCCCACGTGTCAGCAATAAATTGTAGCTATCTCAAAAGTGCATTTAGGGAAGTCTTTTATTACATAATGCTTCCTTGGTTAAATAAATAAAGAATTTAACACTTCATGATCCAAGTGCATTTGTAACTTACACAACAATTTTTATTAAAGAAAAAAGAAACTTTGTAATTGAAACAACATGTATTTGGGGATTACACTTATTAATCCATGAAATAGCTTTCTACTGATTCAAGTTACCTCGTTAAATACATGGTATCATCTCTTTCTATCGCTGCTGTTTCTCAAGAAAAGTAATTCCTTAAAGGAAATAATGTGCAAGTAGATGATTAGCCTGCTTACACTGAACTAACATAAGAATGACAGTTTGGAAAATTGTAGCTAGTAATTAATGATTTTGTTTAAAAATTGAATTGGCTTTTTTGTAGATTTTTGTTTTTCCCCTTTAAAGACTTGACTAGCTATCAAGACTTGTAATTACAAATGTCATTCAACTGTCTGTTTAGCTGAGAGCTGGATTCTTATGGTCTCATCTGATTTAGTAAACGAGTAAATGAAATTACATCTTCATAACCTGATGCAAGTACCACTACAGGGAGCTCAAATGTTTCATAAATTGAATAGGATCCTCAACATCTGTGTTTATTTTTTGTGATGACTTTTCAGTTACAAACAGAAGTGACTTCCAAAAGCAAAAAACTGGTGTACTTATAGTTCAGCTACTGTATTAACAATATAAAAGCAATAATTTTGTCATGTGTTTTTTTGTTAGGAACTTAGTGAGCAGTTTTGTCAACTGGAAGCTGATTTGAAAAAACTAAATCAACTCCTTGTGGATCTGGTTGCTGACCTGAAATCAAAGAGAAGCTTTTTAGAGTCCAATAAGCTGCATCAGATCGAAAGAAAGTTGTATGTGTACTATTTCCAAGATGAAGAGAAGTTGCAAGAGGTGGTGGAGACGCTTGAGCAGCAGTCTGAGGCTAAAGCCAGTGGTCTGGAAGATTAGCATTTCATCACTGGTGGAGTTCTTAATATTTAAACTTCAGTGTACTCTTAAAGGAAAACATGCTAATGTGAACTGTCTACAAGTTTATGGAATGATAACTATTAGCTTACCAAGGCTGACACTTCTCTGGTGTTGCAATGTATGTTCAGCAGCCACGGTTACCCAGCTGGGTTGTGTACAGCTTCATGGCGTTGGGCATCTGCTCCACGAGCAAAAGATCCATTTGGTCAGAGTTCTTTGAAAAGAAATAGTATATTGGTTATCTGAATTAATTACATTCAGGCTGCTCTTCTGCCAGCCTGTATGCTGATTTCCACTACACACAGCATAGCACAAAAAGGAACATTTCATGCCCTTGAGATAAGTTTTGTTGCATGCTAAGAACCTTTGATGTGTAGACTGAAAAATAAATATGGAGAAGGCATTCCATATTTTTGAACATGAATATAATGTACTCATTCTGAAGAGTAGAGTTCTCCAAGGCAGATATTCCACAACTGTTTCCTGTACAGTTCTCCTGAAATCTTGTTTTGTTAGAAATGTGTTGAAATATGTATCAGAATCTGTTTCAAGTACCAAGACTATATATTTTAAGACCGTTTTGATACTTCTTAATTTAACTTACAGCCTGTCTTCTCCTTTGAAACCAGTTAGTTCTCACACCAGCCTCTTCAAATAAAAAGAATTCTGTTTTGAACTTCTGAGTTTTGTTTATAGCTTATAATGGTAGGCATTTCAGTTAAGAGTCCTTAAGCTTTCATACTTCTGCTTTCATGTACATTGTTAGCCTGTTTATCAAATTTTTATATAGCTTCCTAATATATAGTAATGGAAATAAATAGGCTTTTGTAGTATGATAACTTCCTAGTTTTTTATATTTTGGTGCTATCAGCTGCTCTTGCTTTCAAGAATTTTGCACATTGGTGAAGGCTAGTAAATTAGCTTTACCTTCAGTGGTAGTAGTCTTAAAACTATTTTGATGGCAGAATTAACTATAAGTGTAACAATTTTTTTTTAACTTGTATGCCTTTATCTGGATTTCGTGCTGCTTGACTCTATAGATTGTTTATCATTAAATGCCAATCAGGACAAATTCAGTTGGGTGTTGTCAGTATTGATGGTGAATCTGTGTTGGTTTCAGGCCTATTCTCAGGCATAGGGTCTTGTTTATGTTTATTCTGCTAGGTTCTCATTTTGATCTGCCCCAGAGGCTTTAGGAGGGCTGCTTCCCCCCCTGAGAAGTCAGGGAGTGCTCTTACCCTGTGTACAAAAGAAGCAATGCTCTTAATTAGAAGTTAGGAGGAGTTGTCCATGCATGTGTAACCAGAGGAAACACTTTACTTGATGGTTAAACTTGACTTGAAATGCTGCTCATGCACTGGATTTAGTGGAAAAGAGGACTGGAGTAACAGCACTCCAGTTACTCACTTGTATAGGAATAACTTAACAGCAGTTTTTGGTAGAGCAGTTGACTTTTGCAATTTGAATCCTTTAGGTGTTTTGAAAATGGCATTTATCTTTCGTTTGGGGCAAGTTTTATGCATTGTTTTGGTCTTAACTGTATAAGTCAACAAAGGCATCAGTATGGACACAGTTGTTTTGTGTTCTCCTCTATGTGTTGTGTTTAGGTGCTCTCCCAAGCGTTGTGTATGTGCTGCAGAATGTGGCTGTAGGTCAGCTAGAAAGGCAACTGCGTTTCAAAAAGATAAAGCTTAGAAGGGCACTACCTGTGGTCAAAGCTTGTAGTGGCTTTACACATTCCTGACCTGTTGCTTAAATTGACACAGTTTGGCAACTTAATTTTGTTAGCATTTAATAGTACTTGAGTACATCAATTATTGAAGGTTTAAAGAATAGGGGTCTTATGATAATTTTTTTCTGAAACAACACATCAGTAATGTTTGTATGTCATGATAGTAATACTTGTTTTTTTCATCTTGGGTTGGCTCTGTGTTAGTGGTTACCTGAAAGTATTTTTTTCTTGATACATTCTCAGGACAAAAAAAGAGTAAATATATGGATAGACTATATATAGACTAGTTTAAAGATGTCGGGGAGGGGGGGAAGTATTTTCACCAGAAATTATATTGTTTCATTTGTCAGATTTTTTTTTTTAAAGTTAGAAGTTAGCAGTAATTAATAGGACTGCTTAATTTTTTTAACAGTGTATCAAAACAGTTTTAATGAAGTTTCACTTAGTGGTTTTTGTAAATTGTTACAATTCGTTTCTTTTTTGGTAATACTTAGAAATTGATAGGCATGTCAGGGAGGAAATGTTTCAGCTGTTCATTCTCAACAGGGAACATGTCTGCTACATTTTCCTTAATTTCAACAGAATGTACGTGCAGATTTCCCCGTGGCCCTGATATAATGTGTAATTTTTGTATTGTGTGTTTAGGTTTAATCTTAAAAATGGAACAGTCTGCATCATACATAGGATGTGAGATTTCAAAAGTGCCTTTATCTGATATCGCTCAGAGGATTATGACAGCTCTGCAGTCTGTTCCTGTAGGAGAAGTTCAGACTAGCAGAAAGAATAACCGGAGTGAGTAAACCTTAGCCTGTTTAAGTGTTTCTCTTTTCAGCTGAAAAACTGAAACCCAAACAAACCAATATAAAACTTCTAGACCCTATTTAAAAAGGAAGACAAAGTGAGAGTTTAGGTTTCCAGGTTTAGAAAAGGGATTAAGCTTTAACTGACATTTGCTGGGACTTTTCTGATTAAATAACACTGTGTGAGTGTAAGGAACTGAGATATTACCAGTACACCAGTTTTATTTTTTTTTGATTCCTGTTCCTGCTATGTCATATAGAAGTAGGTAAGAATTTCAAACTGTAAATTAACTAATACTGTAAATTAAATGTTTATGTTAGATTAACTCTAGACTAGATATTTAAAGATTGCTAGAAGTACTGGAACTTGCCAGCAGGCCTGTGACCTCTCCAGACTTAGGCCTGTCCTTTAAACAGCTGTTCATTAGCAACCTGGGCCTTGTGAAATTCTAGGAGAGAAGAGTTAACATAAGTCCCAGTGGTAGGCCACATTAGGTAATGTTCAAAGTGCCTCAGCAGATCTTTGACTGTTGGGCAAATCTTACTCAGGATGTTGTGGGAACTAGAGAGCTTTTGCAAGATGGATTTTTCAATTCTCAGTTCTGTGCATTTTGTAGTATGCTAGTCTTCTAGTCTTGCAGCTCTGGAACGTAGCAGATAGAAAGTTAGAGGTTAACTCAGTTTCAGTTGCTTGTTTCCTGCTGGATCATGGAGATCTCTTAGATCCTGCAACATTGTATGTTGAATGGGATTTAAATCTAGCGTTTGTTCCTGCGTACATGGTGTTTATTGCAGCCTCAGTTTTATGTAAATAAGTCAGACTCTTTCTCTCAGAGTCCAGTATTGGACGAGTGGAGCCTGATGGTGTGGCAGTGGAAAGGGCAGTACTTCATTGCTGTGTAAATCAGGGATACAAACTTGAAGAAATATGGGGTGGGTTAATTTTGAAATGGTACATTTGGACCAAACCTCAAATAATTTTAGAAAATCAGATCTCTCTTCTGCCTCAGTTTAATTACTACTTTTGCTACCTTGTCATTTTTCCTTCCTGAATTTTCCTGTGTGATGTTTTTTGTCTTGGAGTGCAGAATTTTGTTCTGTGATATCTTGCCATGGTTTAGGGTCAGGGCTGCCCTCAGACCTGTAACAGACACTCTGTTAACATCCCCCTCCCCCAGGGGAAGAGGAAGGGAACAAGGGAGAGAGATTTATTGATTAGAAAAGTAAAACAGCTTTAATGAAAATACTACTACTACTAATAAAATGGAATATATACAATAATATACAAAGCCAGTATTGAACACCCCCCCACCCCCCAATGGCAACACATCACCGTCGCCCCCGATGCTGGGGGGCAGGCCCTGGGGACATGTCCCAGGCTGGACTCTGGGACAGCTGGGTGAAGGAGCTGGATTCTGGAACTTGGTTCAGGAACACAGGGCTCGGGATCAAAGGCAGAATGGACCTCGGATGCCAGATGTTGAAGGAGAAGCAAAGGGGAGGAAGAAGGAAGGGCTTGACCCTCGTGATCCTTCAGCTTTATTCTGAATATGATGGCTAGGGGATGGAATACCCCCTGGGTCAATTTAGAGTCACTTGTTCTGTCTGCTTCCTTTTGCAGGTTTGACCTTTTTCTTTCTGACCCCCTCAATGTGGTACACAGAATTTAGCAGTGACCTTGGTCTGCACACTGGCCGTGCTAGTAACTCTAAACATGGAGCATTACCACTGCTAGCAGCAGACACTGTCTGTGAAAATATGCTGCAGCCTTCAGAAAGTGCAGTTAATTAGAAGAGCTTTAGCTGAAAAGTAAAATCATTGAACAGAATTAGGTCTGTTGCCCCAAACCAAGACAGTAACATTTTAAGTGGTCCACTTGATCCATTCATTCTGTTAAGCTGTAAAATTACAAGATTCCCTTTTTTTTTTTTTTTTTTTTTTTTTTTTTAATACACCAAGAGGGGGTTTTTTTTGAATACACCATGAAGGTGTCTGGTATTTTTAGCCAAACAAGCTTACTGTCTTCTCTGTAGTGCTGCTAAATCCATATTCACTGGGGACTGAAAGAACAGCGTAACTGTTTAGTGGTGGTAGGTCACGTGACGAGCTCATCTTGCTCTTGTTTTCCATGTAGTAATTAAAATTGTTTCTAGTATGCAGGCTTAAGAACAAATTTATTTGGGTTGCTTTTAGGAAATTGCCTTTATATACGACTTTAACTGATCAGTGTGGATCTGGAGAGAAGAAAAAGTTTGCCTCCCTTAAAGTAACCAAAACCTGTTGTGTTGCTCTGTTTCAAACTATTTAACTGTATTTTATTGATAGGATAATTTAATCTTTAAAAATCTTACTGGAAAAATTGTTTGTCTGTAGAATATAAATAGTGGGTTCAAACAGGACAAATATCTGCAATGTTGAGCTGGTGGGTGAAATTCTGTGGTTACCTTGACAGTAGGGCTTGTAATGGTTCCATCTTGCCTTAGAGGAGTTTGAAAGCAAGAATGGGTTTCTACTGCCATCTGGTGATACTTTTTCATAAACCAGATGTTTGAGGTTGCTTTGCACTTTTAGATTCCTGTCATACTGAATGCTGTGTGATGGAGAGAAATGTCATCCTCATTTTCTTCTGTGGAAGGGTGAATTTGTCAAGAATACGTAGCTGTGGAACAATTAAACGCACTGATTGTAAACTTAGTTATGATCCTTCTTAAATTACAATTGTGTTGTAGGAAATGTCAAAAAAACCTGAGCCTAAAATCTTAGAAGCTACAAATACAACTCGTACCATATTTGGTATCCTAACAGCTCAGGTTAGAAGTCTGAGCTGGAGATTAATAACTAGTTATACAAGTACACCAACATGAGCCTGCATATAATACAATAAAGTAAAAAGCTTAGTTTCTTCTGGAGACTTAAGCTAGTGAGCCTTTGAAAATGCTTTTTTATGTCTTTCAAGTCCAGGGTCCTGGTTTGCCTAGGCAAAATTTTTTTTTTTTTTTAAATAATTTCAGTAAAAAAGAAATAGATCAGCTTATGCTTGGTTTAATGGTGGTCATCAGCACATTAAGTTCAGAAAAGGTCTTGCTGCTGGTAATGCAGATTTCATAGGTGCAAACAGAAATGGAGTATTGTACTCCTGAATGGACCAGGAGTTAGAAGGGGACAAAATCTGTATTTTGCTCAAGGTGTCTTTTGTCTGGGCAGTAAAAGAATCTAGAGATAAAGGAATCGTAACTAACTGCAAACTCTGGAGAGAGCCACACCTCTGGGAAGCTTTTTTTTTTTTTTTTTTCCCCTGTTCCTCTTCCTGTACCTACTGAGTCTGGAACTATTGCTAGACTGTTGCCCCTTGTTCTTTTATTCCAGACTTCACTTGCTTCTCTTCTTTGGGCTCCTGGGCAGTTTTGAGGGCAGAGAGGAGAAGGCATATCCTAACTGTTTCATTTAGCATGGTGCACAGTTCTGAGGTGGATTTACCAAAAGCCTTCAATAATCTAGAGCATCTGTTTGCTCTTGGAGCTGTAGGCTAAATATCCCAGGTAGCTGAGTGGTGGGCCCAGGCTAACAGCTCTGCTCTGGCCCTGGGCTCTACCTTAGACCCAGGGCTGGCAGCCAGCCTGCTTCTGTGGTGCTAGTCCTGTCCTTTCCTTCCCGCTGGCTTGGTAGGTCTGAGTGCTCCTTGCTCTCTCTTGTTCTTGTCTGGGCTTACAAAACCTATTCTATTGCAAAGATGAACTATGTGGGAAAAATCCTCTGCAGATGAAGTGTGGTCAGTTCCTGTTGTGACTGCCTGGAGGGTGTGATAGGCTAAAGATACATATATGATATATATGTATGTGAAAAAGAATGTGGAATAATATTAATTCAAAGGAAACTATGTGAAGTGCATAGTTTGGTTTTTATTGGATTTTGCCTTTTTAAAAATTTCCTTCTTGCCCATGCCCACAGCTTTGCTTTGACCAAAATGGGATGTGTTTTCTTGAAAGATGAAAATAGACAAATTTATGGTATAGTAATGACTTCTCTGAATACCATGGAAAATGTTTGTATGTTTTGTAGTAAATTTGATTTTTTTCTTAATGGGGCAGAGCTTGCTCTTGCATATGCATATTTAGGAACCTGAAGGGCCCTTTTAAGCATCAATGATATTAACTTGACAAAAATGGTTGTCATGGAAAATTTTACTGCAATTATTTTGGGGTTGCTAAAAGTGTCGGTAATGTAACTTGTTACAAACGTTGTTGTATGTACTGCATTGGTATTGTAAAACGCTTCCCATTCTTTTTTTAAAGGTATAGAGAAGACAAAGGAAAATAAACTAGGTGATAAGGATGCACGCCTGAAAAATGAAAAGGCAAGCATATTGTGAGATTGAAGACCCCTAAAAGCAGTCTTTTTATAGCAGGTTTGAAATCATTGTAGACTGGCTCTTTCATAACGAGCTTTATCACAATATGTTGCACTCTGTCATAGTTCAGATAACTTTTCTCTGTCTCATTTGGCACTTGGCATCTATTAACCTATGAGCATCTTGGCCCCACTTCTGTCATCCTTTTATAGGTAGTCTTTTATATTTTTTTTTTTGTGTCAGATTGATCAGAAATAAATGAGGTTGCCATGTTTAGATATTTCTCAGGGTTTAAAAATATTCTCAGACATCTGCCACTGAACAATCACTAGCACGTATTCATAAGGTGAGCTGATTCATATGAAAAACTTTGTATTGGGAAACCTAATTTTTCGTTTAATCATCTCTCTGAATGTGTTTAATGTGTGAGTGAGCACCAGTGCAAGAACAGGAGTGGGTAACTGCGGCAGCCCCAGCTCAGGCTGTGAGTGTAAGATCCGTTGGGTCGATGGGTGAGCTGCAGATACTGCAAGTGTGCTCCTGGCTCGGCTGCGCGTTTCCCGGCTCGCCGAGCTCTGACTGCGCGTTGGACGCTCCAGCGAGCCCACTCACGTCACTCAAGCTGCAGAAACCTGCTTTCTCTTGTGGGCTGGGATATTTCCCTGCAAATCAAATTGGCTCATAGACAGACATGCAGCTGTGGGTGTGCACAGAGGTGGTAGTGGAACCCTTTTTCTGATGATGAGGTGCTAATTTTGACTCCCTGCATCTAGTGAAATTTTCCTACATCTGCATAAATTATGGAACTGCATCCTGGGAGTTGTTTTCTGTACTTCCAGCCATGCCATTATTTCTAGTAGAAGAGCAGTTCTTTCTGGAAGCTGCTGCTTCTCTCTGGTTAATTGTAGTTCCAGCTGTCTTATTCTGACTTGATAATTAAATTGCTTTTTTTCTTGGTTTTGAACCTTAAAAAGAGAATTGCTTATTTCTGATTCTATAATTACACAAGTGTCCTAATTCAAATTCTACTGTGTTAAACAAAATTATTTGCAGTTTGACTGGAGGACACACTTGGGTGAACTAATTGTCTTTCTATGGCTCTTAAACATTTACTCCTTCTATGATATTATTTTTCCACTTACGGTAACTTTTCACAGTGTCCACTTTGATTAGCATTGCCTAAGTACAATTAATTTGTCTTTGTTCAAAACAGCCATTATTCATTTTGGTAGTAGCAAATGCTTAATTAGCTCCCTTTTTCTATTTACTTAGAACCTGTTAATTGTACTTTTGCTATACGCTGTAGTCTGTGAAGTACGATCTCAAGCAGTCTAAGCCTTTTTCATCTTTTGACTCCTAATTCTGAGGTTTGGGAATACAGGAACTGGCTTGAGGAATATTGTAAAACAAGATAAAAAAAAAATTGCTTTGTTATTCTGCCTTGCTCAATCAATACCAATTGAATACAGATGGATGATATCCTTTGATCAGTGAAAATTGTTATCTTGGGGAATGGATGGGAGCCCTGCAGAGCAATAACTTGTGCTTCTTTAGAAGTGAGAAGGCCTTATTTTTTGAAATGGTAGCGACAGCAGAGGTACTGAAGGAGACTGGGTGTGAGGCAAGAGCAGAAAATAGGGCAATTATGAGAGGCCTCAGTTACTTTTCAGTGGAATGGGTGAATGTTATGCTTATGCATGATGCTGAGATGAAAAATCAGGAGACAACTGCTTTGTGAAACAGTTAGGGAAGTCACAAGAGAAATAGTTTATTTAATTCTTTGAGATCTGGTTCAAAATCTTCCTGCTGAAAGATGCTCTGACAAGGACTCTAATCTTTCCAAGGCATTAAAAGATAGATAAGTCACTAGAGGAATGCTTCATTTCAAGAAAGGAAATGAGAAAAAAAAAAAAAAAGGAGCTTTTAAGAGAAAGTATATGGAATTTCCCTTCCAAAACCAAAACATCTGTAGGTAGTATAGTGACTTATTCAAAACAGAATTTTAGACTTTCAATGCATACTGAAATCTGTCTAGGGTAAAGGCATATGGCTAAGCGACAGTATGAAGGAGACTGCTAAGGAATGCCATCATGCAAGAAGCTGAGCCTAACCAGAATCTGTATTATTTTATAGTTACCTCATTTGAGTAAATGTAAATATACAATATTGTAGTGCACAAACTTTGAGAAACAGCTTGAAAATGCATCAGTAATAATAGTGCTTTTTTCAAAAGCCTCAGAACTCGAAAACTTGCCAGCTCCTGTTGGTGATCAATGTGTAAGAGGATTATTGAGGAAAGATACAACTCTGTATATCTGTAAATAATTAAACACTCATTGATCCTGGGGAATCTTGGAAAGGTTGCTGGTTGCCATTCCGGAGTCCTTGTTTATGAAATGAAGACAAAGGATCTATCTCAGCTGAAGAGGTTGTAGGAGAAACCAGAAAATAAACAGTAAGAAAATACTAGAGCCAGTAGCATACCAAAGAAATTTCTGAAGGAAATCAAGGATGAAGGAGTAGAAAATAGTAAGAAGTTGCTTAGTAATGTTTAATGCTATTTAACAGCACACTGCTGTAAAGGGATCCAGGGACTATCTGGAGTAGGAAGGCTGTGCTAGGCACATGAATTAAACAGAAGAGAATATAATACTTATTCATACACCTGATAATACTTCTTCAGTGTGACTTTCATATATCTTTTTGTAACCTCTTACAGTCTTGTAAGTTGTTTGAAGAAATTGGTGGGGAGCCAGTTGGCAAAGTGTACTTGAATTTCCAAAGCAGTCATTATGGTCCCTTGCCAAAAGTTCTTTAATAAACTAAGCTGTCGTGAAAAAAGCTCTGAAATATTTAAGGGAGAGATGGGAATGAATGGTCTCTTCACTCCTCAGAAGGAGGTCACTAATAACCTACTTGCCACGGAAGACAGGCTACTGGACATCTTACAGTCATTAATTTGCCATTTGTAGTGTTGGACTAATACTAGCTGTAAAAAATGGTGGGTTTGGGTTAAGCAATATAAATCAGTAAAATAATCTTCACTGATAAATACTTGAATTTTATATAACATGATTTTCCTAAACTGGCTCTTTGATAGTATCAACATTTTTTTTCATAGTGTATCACTTCCTTCAAAGCTTATCTAAATTAACTCATGTACATTTATTCTTCTTTCTCTTAATAAATTGAATAATTGTTTCACTGAATTTCCAGTTTTTCCAGGAGATTCATGATTCCACAGTTGCCGTAAAAACATCTGTCATCTCTGAAAAAAATACTGCTGGTCAGATAGTCAGGACAGTACATACCAATGAAATGCTTTGCTGTCAAGATACCAAAATAGTGAGCAATTACCAGGATTTAGATTTGCCAACGTGGGCATACAGAGAAAGAAATCTTTCAGTAGAAGCAAAAGACCTGAAAGAGGGTGAAAAGAATGTAGCTACTCCCCTCAAAAGAAAGCATGATATGCCTGCATCTTGTTCAGAGAAAACAAGAAGATTATCTGTAAAGACCCACACTTCTTCACACGAAAGAAGATACAACTGTACTCCTGGCCAGACAGAATCTTCTGAAAATTATCCTTGTGATATCAGGAATTTGGGATGTGAAGAAAAAAGAGAATTGCTTGCAGCTATAGAACAGGCAGTGGCTTTTGTAACTACTATGATATTTCAGGATGGTTCTTCACAGCTCAACTCAGAGCAGGTTAGTGGATGATGTGTTTTGTTTAGAGTCAGTTTTGTAGAATCATTTGAATTTGCATATGACTGATAAACACAAACCCACATTCATTGGGAGCCTAGAATCTGGACCACTTTTGTGTGTTATTGCTTACCAAAATATAAAAGTAAAATGAGGTAAACCTTAATGCTTTGGACTACATTTTATTATTAGCTACCAAGTAAAAAAAAAAAAAAAAGGTGAAATCACTTGGGCTAATCAGGCACTTCTACTTAAAGTGAGACTGTTTCAATTCAAGTATTTTTTCCTGCTTTTTACTATGTCTGTTACTGTGGATTTTTGTTTCAAGGCTGAAACACTTGCGTGCTCCTGTACTCTGTCAATGATGCATGTGATGACTCCGGTGTACATAACAGATTTCATACAGTTAAATATTTGGGGAATTTTCTATATAGGTTTGCATAAAATCTATCACAGGAAACTCTATTTTAATTATACTTAACAGGCCTTAACCTCATCAGTCAAAGGAATTGTTGTGTTAGTGAAGAACCAGACTGATCACCCTTGCCCTCCCAGTTACTCTTCAACTGACTGTACTTGGAATGCTGCTAACGGAAATAAGTTAATTTATCTAAAAACTGAATGGTCATCTCTTTGGGAACAAGAACAACAGGCTCACAAGAAATTTGCCTGGTGAGAATATCTAGGAGAAAGTACTATTTGCTTTACATATGTTTCTGGCAGCATTGATGTTGGTTGTATGGCACAGGCTTAATCTTGTTCCATGTCAAGCTCTTTGAATTTCATATAAGCTGTATTCATCCTGTGTAAAGCCTGGGCTAAAATAAACTAAATAGACTATTCATTTGGGCTCAGCCTAACACTAAGTGTAGCCCTGCAAGAACTAGGTTGGGATTCTGGTAGGAGCTGTTTACATTCACCCAGAAGTCCTGTGTGAACAGTTTACAACACCAAAAAATTATTCATGCAGGTTTATCTTTCTTATATCTTATCATACATTTCCTGAACTGCATTTCTTATCTGGTACATTTTTGTTGAACATTATTACAGTAAATATTTTTTGAGCTCTGCTAACATTTTTAATTTTCTGTCCACAATAGGCTTTTGAGGTTGTGTATGATGTTTTCCTAATGCTCACTAATAATGTTACATTGAAATTTCAAGATAATTTTAAGTAAATGCTATATGTGTCCATTTAGTAGTTGGACTAAATATGAAAACAATTGCATTATGTTTTGAACTTCTAGTTAATAAGGAATCAAAGTGGATTTTGATTATACTAATAGCTTTGAAATAGTATCCCATAAAGAAAGAACTGAATTTGATTCTTAGATATTCTAATCAACAATTAAATGTTACAAGCGACTTTTATATTTTATGACTTTCAGTAGTAACTGCTTTATTGTAAAATGTTGAATTTAGATTATTAAATTACAGGGCATTGATTTTCAAGATGTTAAACCTGGTTGTAGGTTGAACCTGAATCTCTGCCACTGTTCCATGGTGACTTGAACTGTACTTCTCCAGCTGTGATATTGGAGTTATATGACAACTAGTTTAATAACTTGCATTTAGTTTGAGTATAGGTTGTTCTGAATTGAGAATAATGTATCAATAAAGCATGTACATATGAACAGTAAAAATTCAGTAATAAGCAAGTTGAATAAGTCTATTAGTGTTTAGAAAACCTATAGGTAATTTTGTTGTAAGAATGTTTAAAAGTGGATCTACACTGCATAAAAATAACTAATCTACACAATTTCTAATATAACCAAAAACTTAGTACTGTGGGGTCATGCCACTAAAGATAAATAAACTTGAAAGCTGCATAAAAAATTACCTTTCTATTTTACCTAAAATAGAGCTTATAAAAAAGACACAAAAAAATTAGTAAACTATATACTATTTTAAAAAATGTAAAATCTATTTTAACGTAAAAACTATGTAAAATCTATTTAAAGTAGCAGGGATGTGGTAATTATAGACATTTCCAAAAGAACTGGAAAAATGTGGCAAGGATGTAGCATTCTAGATTTAAGTAGCATATTAACACTAGACAATTATGGCAATTTAGATTATCTAGTAATTTTCAAGTCATGGTTTTTACAACACTACATTAGCTCAGAAGCCTCTGTGGAGTTATTTGGGTATATTAAAGTATTATAGGGATACCAGTTGCTGTTTCAGATTAAGATTGCATTCAGAGTGTCAAATGAGGATTTATTTTCTTTCTGAATGCATATAAGGCATATCTGCTAGGATGTGTAGTTTACTATGGAATGAAGCTTCAGCTATTACTCAATTTAATATTCTAATACAGTATTCTGTTCTTACAGGAACAAAGAAATAGCTTGTGTTAACTTAGTGTTAGATGATAATTAAATTTATACAGTAAGTAGATTCACTGAATTTAGTAGGAATAGTGTGTGTGTTAATAAGCTGCTTCTGTGCAGGCAAGTGTTGTTTCAAATGCTGCACCGCAAAGTTCCGGTTATCTGCTTCAATGCAAAAGATTTCCTGAGGACTCTACTTTATGGTAATGAAATTAGCTGGAAACAAGGTAACCATCTAATCTATAAACTATTCCTATAATCGGTTTCTAATATTTCTGTTAAAATCCCTAGATGTTGAAGTAACTAGATTGGTGATTAAGGTGACCAGAGGCTGGGCGTGTTAAGATGATGTATTTCTTCTCAAGAGTAGGAATCAAATCACTGAATAATTTAAGGGTAGCTTCCAGAATAAATAAAAACCCTCAACCCAGTCCTGACTATTAGCTGAAAAAGATCAAACTTCTTCATGTTCCCTAGAAAAACTTTCTACTCAAGAGGAAAGGCTGAAACAAACTCCAGAGGCGCTTGTAGTTGTCAGAATTAAGAATCTCTTGAAAGGCTCCTTGGTTATTTTGATAAGAACAAGTAAGAATCTTATGGATATAAAAGCAACTACAAACAGAAGAGATAAGTTGTAGATACAACATGGTTTTTTCTTGGTTCTATGTATTGGATTACTGCTGAGTAAATTACAAAAATAAGTGTGACCTTTTAGGAAGGACTCCCTCTGTGGAGAGTCTTCAGCTTGTGTTCATCTTATTAAAGTTTAATCAGTACATCACAGTAAACTGATGATGATTTAGTATCTGGTGTGAAAATCTACACAAAAGACACTTAGCCCTGGCAATGGGGAAAAGAAATGTCATGATGTTCCTGCCACTAGTGACACACAGGAAATAACCAGATCTAGGTTAGACCCTACCTGAAACATGCGATTTGAAACTGAAGTTCCTAGTATACAAAAGAATTCTTATCTTGGTGTTTTTTTTTTTTTTTTTTAAACTTTGGAAGTTGATGTTTCCTCACCCATTATTTCTGCTGTGGTGAAAAAACAAACAGAAAAACCCCAGACACAAGCCCCTACCATTTCAGACATAAAGAAATCCCATAATCGTCAATCAAGCAGACACTGAAATTTGTGTGTCAGATTGACTGCAATCACTTGGCTGGTTGCACTCCTGCTCAAACCAGCATATGAACCAGAGGCATACACAGAGATGCTTTAGCCCCAGCTGGTGAGATGTGCATGCTTTGCCATTGGGTTCACTCATGTTTTGGAGCAGACAGGACTTGAGTACCATTTCACAGTCTTGAGGAAGGCATGCTTTTATTAACACAGACTCTTCCCCTCACTTCATGCCAGCTTGACCCTGGTTTTGCTTCACCCCTCCTTTCGGCTTTTTCTGTCTTGCTTCCCTATGTGTCACCCTGAAGGTGTTGTCTCCTTTCCAGGACTGAATTGGTGGCTATAACTCACTACTGGTACCCTCACCTTTGCTGAAAGTTTTAGCTGGGAAGGGAGGGGAGGGATGGATGGGTGGGTGGATGGATGACAGGGGGGTGTGATTCTTTATCCTTTTCCTGCTAGAGACTGTCTTGTGCTCGTTGTAAGTAGAGATGGGCAAAGGCTCTTTGAGGTATCTCAGGGACTATTTGGTAACAGGATTCTCTTCTTCCATGTATCCTTGGTAAGATGTAGCTCTTATTACAAAAATAAGTGCGTATTTCATCCAGTCTTCACATGAGCTTGTGAATTTCCAGCTTCTCACTGGGTAAAGCCTTCCTGCTGCCTTTGGGCCTTTTCCAACAGCCATCAGCTGCCATTAGTCGGGCTGAGTTCCTCAGTCTGGGTCTTCACAAGGTGTCATCTGAGCTCATGGCACATCTGTCTCTTACAGTTTTCAAAGTTTCATTTAAGTCCTGTAGGGATTAAGCAGTGGAAATCCTGTGGACATGTCCCACATTTGGTTTTGGAGTGGAGGCAAAGTTTGACAGACTTTGTTAAGCTGCATGATTCCAAGGCTATCACTGTCTTTCCAATCACAGAAAGACTCACTCTCTCAGTAGTACTATGGGGAGGGTATCCTTGAGACAACTTCTGAGGCTGTTCTGTAGCATCTGTTAGCTTTTGAGGTGAATAGATGTTTGCATTCAGAGAAAAGGATAGTCAGCTACATGAAATCCTGGTATGAGATAGTGCAGATGAAGTACCCTTCAGTTATCTGGCCAGTCCACCAGAACTTAAGATGATTCAGAGGCACTATGTCTCCTTCCCAAACATCTGCTGAGCAGACACCTGAAATTCTTTTCAGCATCAGTTATATCAGTGGAGGTAAACAAGCCAGATTGTCAATAGAATAGAATAGAATAGAATAGAATAGAATAGAATAGAATAGAATAGAATAGAATAGAATAGACCAGACCCTGCAGCTTTAACTTGGGCTATAAACATTAAAGTCTGCTTTCAGGTAACTGAGTGTGTAAGGTTGTGTAGCATGGAGTTCTCTAGAAATGTATCTGTGGGTTGTCATTTGAACTTGAGTAAGGACTGCTGAAGAGAATATTTAGATCTAGCTTTGAATATATCACAAAACATTCTAGCTACTAGTTTCTGTCTCCTCTTCTTTGTAGTACTAGAGTACATGTTGAAATTGTAGTTGAAAGGAACATGGAACAGCAGCTGGCTTGCTCCATCCTGTGTGTCTATGTGAACATAACAGAAAGTGAAGAGTAAGCACATATGATCATATAGGACAAAAGGTTCTGATTTTTGAGAAGATTGTATTGTACACCCATATGTGAATTCAGATACACATTAAAGATCTCAGAAGGCTGGTTGCTAGGAAGTAAACTTTTTCTCCCCTGACCCCCAATAGCAATTTTGTGGATATCAATCAAGTTAACAGTAAAACTGTACCTGAGGAAGACACAAGAAAACTTGCCGTTTGAAATTTTTCAGTTATAAGAAAGAGAGGCTTTTACAGTTGATCTTAAGAATCAAAGGTTTACTTACTTTTTAAAACTTGGGAAAAAAAACCCAACTAACCAAAATCAAACCCACAAAAAAAACCTCTTCAAAAATATTCAATATTGAACTTGTTCCTATGTAGTCTTGATATTGACTACTTGTTATAACTGTGAATACAATACTTAACATGTAGTGTAAATGCTTGTCTATTTATGATGTGTGTCTACAGGAAAGATGGGCAAAACTTTAGAGGCATTTCTCAGTATGGGAGGTAATTGACATATTTTGATTGTCAGAAATAACTTATTTTTGTAGTTGCTGATAGTGTTGTGTTAGATCCGAGGATTGCAGCGTGGCTGATAAACCCCAGCGACACAGTTCCCTCTTTTGAATGTTTGATACAGAAGTATTTTGAAAAGCCTGTCTCCATGGGAGCAGTAAATACAGAGACAGGCACCCTGAGAAATGCATCCGTAAGTAGGTTCTTTAAATTTTTTTCTTTTTGTGGTTGGGTTAAAAGAGGAAGGAAATTGTGAAACAATTGCTTGTGTTTACAAAATATTGGGGAAAAAAAAAAGCCAACAGATGATGCTTTCCTGATGGAAGAAAATAATATATTAATACTGCTTGTTGTAAATCTAATTTTAAAGAAAGGGCAGAAGTGAAAGAGTCACTGTATTCTACCCAGACAGGATCATATTTTCCAGGAACAGCTGTAAAATTCTGCTTCGAAACTGTAAAGTTCAGTAACAATATTAACTATGATATAAGCTGATTCTTTTTCTTTCCACCTCCCTTCAAACTGATTTCCAGCTTTCCTTTCCAAAATGTCTAATACCTTGTTCTTTAATTCCTGTGAGCTTGTAACCTGTATTTAATTAACAATTTAGCTCAATTTCACAGCTAGTGAAGACACCACATTGTAGGCTGAGGAACAAGTAGGGAGTCCAATGTGAACCTTCAAGCATGTCTGTGAAAAACCTGAGAATTTTTATTATCCATAAGAGATAATGCATGATGAACTTTTTGAGAAGTTATTCCCAGCATGTCTTACTCTTTGTTGAAACTTACTGCATATTATGAAATTTTGATACTTGTATTTTGGGTCACAGTGGTCTTCTCTGGACATATTAGCCTTCCAGAGGTTATTTGAATGATAAAAATAGATGTGCAGCAACCTAAATGCTGTTTTTTGAAACCTTTTACTTTTAAGAGGCCTTGCTTATTCAGACAAAAGTATTGTATATATCATGAGGGCTTCTAGGATTCAAATCCACTATGTCAAGTGGGCTTAGAGCACAGACAGAGGTCCGTTCTATCGGTGCAGATGTTTCTGAGAAAACTAGAGCCAGCTTACTTTAAAACACTAGCTGTAAACTGCAGTTGTTCAGAAGCTACTTCATGAATTAACCTATTAGTGTA